TTTCAAAGGCCTTAACTTTGTTAAGATTCTCCATCTTCTATTCTAAATCATTCCTTCTCTTTTTAACATCTTTAAGAACTCTATTTTCACCACTCATCTCTTCCATTATTTAGTCTTATTAATTAGTTAATTAAGCTACCCAACCACTGTGAGGCTTCTTGAAACTGTCTCATTCTTATTTCTGGAGACATAGAGCAGCATTATTTCCTTTTCCTGGAGATTTCACCTTCTGTTCCTTCATTTCATAATTTTTAAAAATCTTATTTGTGAGGTCTTTCTGGTTTACTCATTTGTTTAGTCTCTTTGCTGGTTTTAATGTGAGATTTTCCATGTGAAGACTTCTTTTCTCCCCAACCCCTTTTCATGTTTTTCCCTGTAATTTGACACATATCTTGCTGTTTTGAAGTGATGAAAAGGAACTCAGTTTAGATAACTACCAGTCAGACATCCTGTTGGAACCCTCCTCTTTAAAATGGAAATACTAATGGTGAAGTGTCTGAATTTTCTTTGTGAGATTACAGCTAGATAAGTAAAGCAAAAGGAAATAAATTAATAATCACTGATTTTTACTTCTCCCTCCATACTTTCACGAACACTCTAATTCAAAGGACCTATGATTTTGTCAGAGTAGGCAGTTCCCAGTATGACAATTCCCTCCCCAAACGTGGATCAAGAGAGCAATCAGTCTATAATTTGGAAGATAGATGCAACTTCAATTTACCCTGACTTCCAAATACAGCATGCTTACCACTATGCTGCTACTCTTCCTCTCTCTATAGCTTTGCAAACTAATTTACCTCATATCTGAATGGTCCACCTTAAAACCCAGATATGGGACTGTTTCTATCCCAGTAAATGAGGGGATTGGGCTGGGTAATCTCTTAAGATTCCTTCAGACTCTAGATCTGTGGGCCTAAAAATATACATAGTGTACTTCTTCCCAAAGTTTCATTTCCCTGTAAGTATTTATAAATGTAGTGTAATGTTTTAAAAACTCTGAGATCCTTAACCTCACACTCACTCACGTTGATGAGTTGGGCTCGTTAGGGCAGGTGTGTCCATCTTTGCCCTCCCAGTACAACCAGTAACCAACCGGTTATAATGTAAATGGGAAATTATAAATAAATACAATACAACATAATATTAATTTGTTGTTTTCTAAGTCAATATAAGGTCCAGCAGGGATCCATTTCTATTTGTTTAACGCCACAGGGAGCAAGGCTAGCTTCCCTTTAGAGTCTCAGGGTACCTCTGAGGGTTATTGGTGCCTTTTCTAATGCTATTAGTTTGAACTCCCATTCCACCGAGTGCTCCCCAATATCAACCACCAGTAATTAGTGGCACAGCAAATTAATTAACCCATTAATGCTAATTAGCCTTTACAAAGGGATGTTTATTGAGAAGATCTAGCAAGAAAGGAGGCATAAACTCTTCTCATCAACACCCAGTCTATCCTTGTTGTTTCCTCTTCAATACCTTCCATCTGCGTTGATTCAAATTGGCCACTTGTGACTTACCTCTAGGCCTCTAGGGGTACGCATGGAGGTAGTTCATACCAGGCCACCAGAGCTCATTGTTAAATTTTCAGTATAAGTATTTGTACCTCAGGAATTGGCAAACGCTACAAATCAAGTCCTGATTGTTTTAATTGTTTAGATTTAAGAGAAGACTGAGAAAGTGTTAATGATACAAATTAAATTTAAAAGTATGTCTTGCGTACATTATTTCCCTGATCCCCATCCCCACTGAGATGGTTGTTAAACATTTACCAGCATACCACTGCTTAGCTTCTTACCAGTTTAGCAATCCACAAACTCTGGCATGGATTATAGTTTCTGGACCCCTGGTGCTCTCCCAAACGTTTGAGGCTCATAGACGGCAGCTTAACCTTTTCTGTCTCCAATAAACTTTCGTCTAAAGTGGGAAAGAATAGATATGACAGGGACAGAAGCAGCAGCAGGGTCATATACTCACGGCCTCATGTCACCGAGTGAATGCAGGCTTCTGGTACTAACTCTTTCTCTGCTTGGAGACTTAGAATAGTCCTTGCCTTCTCACTGAAATGCAGTCAGCAGGAAAGGAAGAAAAACTTACTTTGGCCTTAGTGCCTTTTGAATGTTCACCCAGCTCCTACTGAGTAGCCAATTAAAAGCTCCTGACTGTGTGGTAAAAGCACTAGGAACAGAATCACCTGGATGCTCAAAAGTATGGGAGTAGGGCCATTCCCTTACACATGCCCAGAAGCAAGTTTACACAGATTCTAGGTGGGTATGTAGCAAGTAGTATCACTACACATGCTTAAAGGATGGGACTTCCAGTGACTAGGTGCCCTCCCATCTACCTTATAGTAGCAAGATGTCATATTTGGCAAGATATTCAACTACCACACTGTGATTTACTGCAAACTCAAAGTCCTTGATGACAGAAAGTAAAATGATAAAATGTAGAGGGGGAAATTACATGTTAATTAAGGGAGATAGGACAGCAGAGATTTAAGGTATATAACACTCCTCTGCTAAACTCACACAGCTGTGGTTATATCTAACTAGGAAATGAGGGTTAGAGATTTTAAAATTATTAACTACAATGAAAGATCCTTCTATCAAAGTCCATGCCCCTTGTCCCTAGAATATATATCCCTTCATATTGTTCTTGGGAATGGCTGAACAAGTTGTGGTATATGATTGTAATGGAATACTACTGTGCTTTAAGAAATGATGAGCTCAATGACCTTAAAAAAAAAAAGTAAAAATTTGAACAAAATAATGAAGAGCAAAATGAGCAGAACCAAGAGAACATTGTATACAGTAACAGCAATATTGTTTAAGAATGACTGAGTGAATGAGTCATTTTGACTATTATAAATACCCAAATTAACTATAAAGGACATATGAAGAAAGATGCTATCTGCATCCAGAGAAAGAACTGAAAAATAGATGTATAGAATAATTTTCCATATACATACCCCTATTTGTGTCTAGTGGTAGCCATCTCTAGGGTGGGGTGGGGTGGGGGGTAGGGAAGAAAAAAAAGAAATTTACATGATAACTTTATTGCATATTTAAAAGGAATAACAAGTTATATATAATAGATTTGCAGTTTCATGTATAATCATCTTTTTTTTTATTATACCATGTTATGGAAATGCTTGTTTTAGTCTATAAATTAAAAATAAAATAAATTTTTTAAAAAAGGAAAATGTAAAAAGGTCAAGCATGTTTTACCCTAGGGACTTATTAAAACAACCCCTAGCAGCTACAGAAATCACTGGGTTTATATGCTTGAATTGTGTCTGTATATAGAGAAGAGATTGAATGACTTCAGCTCTCTCATTGTTCTACTAGCCTGCTTGTTCCCTGCAGTGGTATTCCTCCATTTTTCTAGCCTGTCTTTCTTTTACCATTATTTTCTCACTTTGAAAAAAAAAGTTTTTTCCCTTCTAGCAGTGCAGTAGCTCATGGTAAAGGCCAAATTTATTGCAGGTTACTGATTTCCTTCTAATGTCACTAAACTCTAAGAACTATATGAGACAATGTATATCTAGAGTTATCCATAAAACTACAAGTATTTGGTTGAATCACTGCTTAAAAAGATCTTTTATTACTAACATTCCCATTTTCCACTCAAGTATTTATTTTAATGTGTCTATTGTGTATAGGTGAAAACATGATTTTTTTGTGCGTTGGATTAAAAGAAAACAACTAAGAATTGTTAGGACCTTTCTGCTAATCACATTTGTAAATGTGTTGAGAAGTGAATAAGTAAATAACAAAGAAACCAAACCAAACAAAAAGGCCTAGTTACTTTGTGCAGGCTTGAAAATCACCTAAAAAAAATCAATTCAATTCTCCTTAGACAACATTTTCTAACATCATATTTATGTCCCCTAGTCAAACCCCACCTCCTTCTACTAATCTATTTGTCATAACTATAATAAGGCTTTATATATATATATATATATATAACATATATCACATGTTACTTTTCTTAACATTTATACACCCACATTTCCCTCTTTTAACATATATACCTCATTTTATTTTTATGTACCTGTTAGATAGCATAAGCATAACATCCCAGTTTTACAAATGATAAAACTAAGGCAGTTAGTAGTTAACTGCCTTATTTGCCTAAGGTCACATAACTTTTAGCAAATGCCACCCAGTCCAATTCCCAACCCCTCACATTTTTCTTTAGATTGCTCTGAAGATATAATCATCTGCCTGAAGCAAAACACAGTTAATAGTTCTTCCATAGAGTCCTAGGTAAAACAAAAATGAAGGCAAAGAAAAGTCTGAGTGGGCTGGAATAAAGTAACCTGGTTGTTAACTCTAAGATTTGGGCCCACTTCAGTATCTTTGTTGAGAAAACCCCAAATGGGGTCACAAAGAGCTGGTCATGACTAAAACGACAGAGCAGTAACAACACAGATGCCCTGCCTTCGTCTACTTGATTCTAGGGTTTTCTTGCCACCAGATGTCCCAGACATTCAATTACACCTTCAGGTGGGTGCCATTTGATAGTTAAGTGCTTGCTTGGGCCTTCAGCTGTAACCCACTGCTGACCTTATCTGCAGCACCACCCACCTGCCTAAACTTCCTTATATCACCTATAGCTAGAGCTGACCCAGATTCCCTTGCCCTACTCTTCAGGTCTGTCTGAGCTTTAGTCCTGGCTACCTTTATTCTGGAGACCACCTGAATCCTTGATACTGATGACAAAATGCTCGATACTTAATTGTGCCCTTTTCCTCTAGCTTATGTTTAGTTATTGGGGTACAAATTAAATGGGGTAGTGAGATGGCATGGTGGATAGAGTGCTGGGCTTAGGGCCAGGAAAACTCACCTACCTGAGTCAAATCTGGCCTCACATACTTCCTAGCTGTGTGACTTTGGGCAAGTCACTTAACGTTGTTTGCCTCAGATCCTCACCTGTAAAATGAGCTGGAAAAGGAAATGACAAACCACTCCAGTATCTTTGTTAAACCCCGAATGGGGTCATAAGGAGTTGGAGGTAACTGAAAAACAACTGAACGACAGCAAAAAGTTGTATTGAATCATGTATCTTATTTTGTTTTATTTCAGGCATATATTCTACTAAATAATTTTAAATTTCTATCAACCAGCCAATTACTAAGTGCTCAAGAAAGCTGGGGTAATGGTGGGGAAAAGCACTGATTTAACAGTCTGAAGATCTGACTCCTCCAGTTACTAGGTGTCTTGCCTTGGGCAGGCTACTAGACATCTGAGCTGACTTGAGTGGTGATAATGTGACATCAAAAGGTAAGTCACAGCTGTATATTTGACACTTTTGAAGTTATTCCCTATTCTTTCTGGAATGCCTATGTCAGAGGCTGTGGGGCCCTGACATTACAATCTAGTTGGGAAGCACAGACTGACACAAATAAAATCAATAGAAGACTAACCCACACAAAACCAGTATAAGCATAGTTGAGAGCTAAATAAATCAATAAGGCCTGGGGTAGTAAGAGGTTTGGCCTGGAGCTGGACCTGAAAGGTGGGGTAGCATTTAGCTAGGCGGAGATTTAGATAGGTCATTCTAGGTGTGGGCAATAACCCAAGTGAAGATAGGGAGATAAGAATGAGAATGGCTCCTGTTGGGGGACAGTACAGAGGTGGACCTGATTTTTATTTTTTACTAAAAGATTGTCTTGAGGCATAGTGGGAAATCAAGTTGGATAGTTAGAGTAGGGGCAAATTATGGAGAGCTTTGGAAGTGCCCTAAAGAAGTTAGGGCTTGGTGTGATTGAAAATAGGAAGTCACTGAAGGTTTTTTTTTTTGAGGGGGAATCTGTAAATTTTACCCAATTTCCAAAAAAAAAAAGGCATATTAAGATGAACTTGCTTATGTTTATGAAACCATGTGTAAGGAGGGCAGGGACTTGGTTATATCAATAGGAATGCAAGGTAAAGTTTTCCAGCTCCCCTCTGTTCTAATCCAAAGTCTAAAGTTTGTTGAAACTTCAAGGCAGCCTGGCTCTTATGCTCACTACCAAGAAGTTGATAAGTGTTTTCTTGCCCTAAACTAAATGACAAAGAAAAGTGGGGGATCTCTTGTTAAGAGATGGGTTAAGTGTAGCTAAAAAACATTTTTGACCTAAGAAGCCATTTCGTGAGTTCCCTGAGTATAGCCATGGGCTTAATAAAAGGACAGAGGATGTATTGATGATCCTCAGAAACGTTACCCAAACACTTTCACAAAATAGTGATAATATACTCCCTTAGAGGAAGAAGAAGCCACAGTGGCTGAAGGTACCTTCAAAAGCTGGCGACAGTAGCTATGTGGAGAAGCAATACATGTCTGCTTTGGGGACAGAGGGAAATGATGATGAAGCCAGGATTATTGGGGGGGGGGATATCAACTTACTGGGAGATGAAGCTATGAAAGGTGTTTTAATTAGGACCCAACCCTAGGAACATAAGTTGGGCAGGAATGTTTCTTCTTCTGCTGGTGGCATGGAAATCTGTGGGAAATTCTGCCCCTTTGTGTAAGTGGGGCTTTTCTCTTGCTATTTGCTTAGCTATTCTGTCCTTACTAAAAGATTTGCTATTTGACTTGTGGTCCTCCTATTAAGAGAACTAAAGTGACTACATTTTGAATTGTCACATTCATTTTGTGCAGCTGCTGGAGTTATATATAGATATAGATATATAGATATCTATGTATGTGTATATATATATATGTGTGTGTGTGTGTGTGTGTGTGTGTGTGTGTGTGTATATATAGCAGCTGCCAAAAATAGTAATTATATCATAAAAACCCTTGTAAATCTTTCTTCAAGTTTCTTGTGACTACTGAAGGGGCCCTGGACCCAATTTATTCTAAATTGCATGCCTTGCTAATAGCATAGCGCAACTTTGTTTTCTCAATTATTATCCTCAGGTGTTATAAAATTAGTCATGACAATTGGTAAGCCAGCAGGTAGACAGCAGCCCTTGGACCCCAGGGAAGGACTTTCCGAGGAACTGCTTAGAGTACTCTGGTTGACTTTATCACTGAAGGATTTCTCTGCAGAAGCCTATCCCAAGGTCAGACTCCTCAGTCTCAATTATGGAGCTAAGGTAAGTCTCCATACTGTTGGGGAAGTCCCTTTAAGGGAATAATGGGATCTGGTAATGGCACACTGAAGGGAACTTCTCTGGAAAGATTTTATAACAGCATGGGACCAGGGGAAATCTTCCAGTTGATCTGGGAATGACCAAGAAGTGCATGAAGTTTTGTGAAATTTGGTCTAAAGCTGAGAGATTCCGCTGATAATTTGTTTTGGCCTCAATTCAGTACCTTTGAGTATTGTAAATGAAAAGATATAAGACTGGCCACAGGAGATAACCATCCAAGGCAGAAGGAATACTGGTTCTGCTGGGCTGCCCTTTCTTATGATCTATGCCTGACACACCTGCAAACATCTTTTCTGTCCTGTCTTGCCTGCTCCCTCTCCTGCTCCTTTGTAACCCCTTTTGGCTCTTGCTTCTTTTGCCATTGCCATCTCTTCTTCTCCATTCTCTGTGCCCCCCATATTATTCTTCTCTTGAATTAACTGGAGATTTAATTACTTATGAGCAAGAGGAGCCCACAGCTGGTGTTTTCCCACTTCAAGAAAGGCTTGCACATAATCCAGCACTGCCTGGTCATGGTCATAGTTAGGAATCATCAGCCTTTCAGTCCTTCTGATCTTTCTACCTAAAGAAAGGGACTCTCCCAAAAATTTGAGGAAGATCCAGGAGTGATTAGAACCTGATTTTAGGACATTTCCACCTTTACAGATTCCCCCCTTGGTGGACATGTTTGATCTGATGGAAACCTTACTCTACTGAAATGAGAGAATTGTCATTATGGAAGCTGCTAATCAGCAAGCTCTAGCAAAGGGAGAGGGGGTTCCTGGCCCCACAGGACTCCCAAATTGGACATTACATGACCCACATTAGCACCCCAACAATCTTACTCATTGTACTAGGTTACTTCAGGCTAGAGAGTCCTTAATTAGAGGCGTGGAAGCTTGTGCCAGCCACACAGAAAATTGGAGTAAGTTCCAAGAGTAATTCAAGAAGAAAATGAAACCCCTAACCACTTTTTTTACGATAGATTATGTAAAGGTGTGAAATGGTATGTGGGTTGTCATAAATTATAAATTTGGCCTTTGTCAATCAATCCCAGTTAGAAAAAAGAAAGTACTTTCATAAGAATTGCCCTGGATGGCATGAAAAGCCTATAGGTGAAATTAAAAGCATAGCCCAATGTTTGTGAAGGAAGAGAGAGAAATCTAAAATTGAAGGGCCAACCACTATCCTTGCCCCTGCATAGGCTGTATCAGGAACTTGAGTCACATGAATGGTTTTCACTGTCATAAAAAGGGCCATATTGCCCAAGAATGTAGAAAGAAAAAAATGTGACTTTAGGAGTAAAAATAGTGGCCTAAAAATGCCCAGGGGAATTTTGCTGCATGAAGGTTTCATGTGAGGTGGGGGAAGAGGTAGGGGCTGTGGATTTTGGAGAAGACTCTTGTTTTCCATGATCCAAATGTCCTTGCTACCACCTCTTCCCACACTAGTGAACCCCAATCACCCTTAAAGCAATCTATGACTGCTTACTAGATACTGGAGCTTCTGATTTAGTTTTAGTGAGTAAGTTAGACTCCAACTGTACCTCTACTGGGTCTCTGAATGTTTTAGGGGTCTCAGGAAAACCTCAGAGTGTTTCAAAATTATCTCATTGTATAGTATCCATAGCTCCCCAGCTCCTTCCTCCTAGTGTCCCAAACCCTTGTAAATCTCTTGGGTGGAGATCTCCTCCATAAATTTGGGGCTAGCATTTCCTGTTTGCTTAATGGCACTCTGTCCTTGCAACTGTCTGAGATTTCCCTCTCTTTGTTACCTGTATCAGTTCAGAATTCCCAAGAGACCCCTGATCATAGTCTGACATCCATGCTTCTCTATGGGTGACTTCGTCTTCAGATGTAAGGTTGTTATAATCTGCTATTTCCATTGCCATTAAGACTAAGGGAGCCCCCTGCCCCCCCTCTTCCCCAGCCCCATACATTCCTCAATATCCTTTGTCCAGGGAAGCCATTACTGAGTCTCTGAGGGATCAAGGTATTATTGCTCCATGTAAATCCTCTTGTAATACTCCTATCTTCCCTATTAGTTAAGAAACTCAAGCCAAGCCCTTATAGCAAATCAGTTTTTTTTCCCCTTTGTACAGGATTTGCACACAGTTAATGCTTATCCTATATCCAGTCATCCAGTAGCACCCAATACTGCTACCATCATTTCCTCTATTCCTTGTGAGGCTATCCGATTTACTGTGATAGATCTTTGCTCAGTGGTTTTTTTGTTTGTTTGTTTGTTTTTGGAGGTTTTTTTTTTCGGTGTGTGTGGGTTTGTTTTATTTTATTTTTTCTTTTTCATTTTTTCTTTCTTTTTTTTTGGGGGGGGGGTCTAGGCAAGTAAGTGTTGTGTGTCTGAGGCCGGATTTGAACTCAAGTCCAACTGAATCCAGGGCTGGTGCTCCATCCACTGAGGCCTAGCTGCCCCATGTTTTATTTTTTCAGCAGTTCTATTCACCTAGCTTCTCAGATTCCTGTTTGCCTTCACCTGGAAGAAAACACAGTAGATGTGGAGTCATTTACCTCAAGGGTACATAGAATACTCTACCCTGTTTCCTCAAATCCTACGACAAGATCAAACTTCTATCATCTTCAAGGGCTGGTCTTTAATCCAATACATTGATGACGTCCTACTGGCAGCACCCTAGTCTTAAGATTTGTCAAGATGGCAGCCATCACCTTCTTCAACACCTTCAAAGGGGTCACAAAGTCTCTAAACAAAAAGTTCGGTGGCACCTCCCACAGATGAAGTATCTTGGTTTCATTTTATCTGTGAGTACCTGCTCTGTTTCCTTTAAGCATGTGCAGGCCTTACAGAAGCTGTTGGTTTCCACAAACTATACGCCATTCTCGGAGCAGCCAGATATTGTCGACAATGGATCTCATCCTTTGGTGTGATCACTAAAGCCTTTATTTCTTTGACTAAAGACTCTCCAGAACCTTTGCAGCTTGATCATCCATAGCTCTTAGTCCTTGTGGATCTCAAAAACATCTTGTGGGCTCCTGCCCTGGACTTTCAGATTATAGTAAGCCCTTCTTCCTCTTTGTACAGGAATGAAGTAGAGTGTGTGAACCCAAACATTCGGGCCTGCTTTGTGCCCAGTGCTTTACTAATCTGCAAAGCCTGATGCTAAGGACACTGGTGCTCTGCCCCATCTGTAGGTTGTGGCTGCCACTGCCCTTCTGGTGGAGAAGGCTTGTCATCTGGTTCTGGGAGCCCTCTTTATGGTGTAGCATCCCCACAACGTTGAGGCCTGCTTACTTCACCACTGAACTTGGACCTTTTCTGACCAGAGACTTGCCAAATACGAAGTGACCTTGCTGGGGAAAAAAAGAATGTCACCCTCAAGTGATGCCATCCTTAATCCTGCCGCATTGTCCCCCAATTTGCAAGTCTCAGGGGAGCCACTGCATGACTTGTCCTCTGTAGTAGATATGGCTGAAGACCCCTGCAATGACTTCTCCAACACCCCCTTCCAAAATCCTGATTAGGTCTTGAATATCAGCAGGTTCTCTTTTATGAGAGATGGTCTTTGTCACGCTGGCTCTGCTGGGATCTTTGACCATGACACCATCTGGGCAGCCTTGCTGCCCTCTAAACTCAGTGCCTAACCTGCTACCTTGTAGCCCTTTCTCAGCCATGTTACCTTGCCAATGAAAAAGCACAATTTATACTGGTTGGTGGTTTGCATTTGGTGTCTATCATGTGGTTGTGATGCTTTGGCTGCAAAGGGGTTTTTGACTTGTTAAGGTCATTGCAAATGTGGAATTTATTAGGGCTCTTATCTGTATTGAGGCTTCCTGCTCCCCTAGCCATTGTCTATTGTCCTACCCATGCCACCCCTATAGCTGCCCATGTATGTACCTTCTGTTCCACTCGCTGAGCATTTAACCAGTATGCCTATGGTGGGTGCCCTTTGCTTATACCCTAGCTTATATGCCTTTTAAGCATTTCCCAATTGATTTCATTTTTATACCTATCTGGCCTCTTTAAAGTCTGCCTAGTTATTGTTGACCAACTCATTGGATGGGTAGAAGTCCTTCCTGGCTCTTGGATCACAGACAGATTTTTTTTTTTTTTGCAAAGGTTCTCCTAAAAGAAATTGTCCCCTGCTTTGGCCCTCTGGCCTGCATTGATTCTAATAGAGGCACCCACTTTACCAGTTCTATCCTATCCCATATTTACTCTTGTCTATAGGTACTCCTAAAATTTCACACACCTTACCACCCCCATAGCTCAGGTCAGGTTGAGCATATGAATGAGCTTAAAACCATGATTGACATGAAGCCTATCTAAAGTGACCTGAGGTACTTCCTCTGGCTTTGTCCTATCTGTGCAGCAGACCAAGGGTAGAATTACATATGTATCTCCTTTTGAAATATTTTTGGGCACCTTCCCTATCTGCCACATCCAAGCAAGACCTTTCCCCTAGTACACACATCTCTATTGGGAAGAGAATACCTCTGTTGCTTCTTATATACAGGAAGTACCAACCAGGCTTCAAGAACTCCATGATGTAGAAGTGGCAGTACAGGCTGGGCCTTTAGATTTTTCACTAATGACTTTCACCTGGGACAAGTGTACCTCAAGAATTTCTAGGGAATAAGGGAACTTGGTGTACTTGGGAAAACCCATTCTGAGTGCTAAGAATCACCCCTACCTCGATCAAGATCTGGGAAAGAGACTCTTGGATACACTGTTCCCATGTGGAACCTGCTCCCTACCATGTTTCATAATGTTTTTGCTCTGATTTGCTCTGATTTTTATAATGTGTTATTCTTTTTGTGGCCTTGTCCTCCCATATCCATTCCTCTCAGGAGGACTGGAAAAGACTTAATGCTGTCAGTAATTTTCATGGTGGGGTAGGTCATGCTTTATATCACCCCAAATCTATTGGGTCGCATGGGTATTGGGTTTGCCATCATAGGGACCTTGACCCATGGACAGTCTTTCCCATTATGGAGTCTGAAACCATTCTGTAATCCATCAGGGTTGCTGGAGGCAGTTTGCCAGTCTCTGGAGGGGATGATGAACTCCCTCAACTTGAGGCTTCCTTTTCTCCTTTTATGCTGGCTAAAAGCTAGTCTATCAGATATCACTCTACTAAAATGCCACTCTCAGGATGGTCAAGCCATTTAAATTATCTGTAAAATGTCGATTTGCCCTGTCTGGAGCCCTTTGGGGACTTGGTGACTCCTGGATAGTTTTTTTGTCTGTGATGATAAGGCTTACTCCTCCCTTCCCCCAAAAGTGCATTGAGATATGTGGAACTGCCTATATGGACCACATCACAGAACTACTGGGATAAATCTAGCAGAAACCTGGGGGCATGGTGGTTTAAACATTAAAAAAAAAATTCCTAGAAGAACATGGCTACAATCTAAAACCATGGAAAGGAGATGAAGTTCTTCTGGTCCCTAATACCATATATTGGGGGTCTCTCCATTAGTTGCTACATTAAAACCTGTTCCAAGCTAGTCCCGAGAGGCTTATATTAGTGTGTTCTGCTGACCATGACCATGTTAAAAATCTTTTAGAATTAGCTAATAGGTAGCTGGGATGTTAACACTCCCAGGATCAAGGGGGAGTACTGAGAGAACCACATTGACTCCATTTTTGTATTATCATTGACATTTTGTACAGCTGTTGGAGTTGTCTCATTTCCTGAGTTAAGTTGAGTTTTCCTATAGATTATGTGATTTCAGAAAAGTAATTTACTATTGTGCCACCAACCAATCATTTTGCAGGATGCAGGTGGATACAACCAATCGAAGGCCCTGAGCTCTGGAAAGTCCCTAAATCTAAAAACAGTAACTTGCTAAAAATAGTAACTGTGCTTAACATAAAAAGCCTTATGTCTCTTCAAGGTCCTTGTACTTACTGAGGGGTCGCTGCACCTGATTAGTTCTGCAATTGTAGGCCTTGTTAATAAATCACATAGCTTGGACTTTGTTTCCTCAGTTATTATAAAATTACTCCTGACAGCAGAAAATGCATAGAATGGGGCTCAAGCCATATTTCTATAACATTGATTTTCTCCAAACATACTGTATTAAACATGGATTAGCCAGGGGTTCTGGAGTTGTGTGGGCCTTAGGCTACATTTTATTTCAGTTGCATTGTAATGTATTTTAAATGTATTTGTGCTATGCCACCTTTCCTTTCCCAAGTGTTTGTGTATCCATATGTGACTGACAATCTCTCAGTAAACCTTAATTCCTATTTCACTTTAGGGGTGCAGGTAGAAGAAATGGAAAAAATTCAAAAATCTATGGTACAGAGGAACCTGCTTATTTAGAGGTAATGTGATTTGTTTTTGAAGGTTTCAGCTGAGGATAGTTTTATATGGTTTTTTTTTTCTCTGCAAATCTGAAAAGCTTAAAAATACAGATCATTTAAAAATTTTTTCCCAAGAAAACTTCTGATTGTCTCATGGAAAGGTGATCCTTAGCTATTTGAATTTGGTATAATTAATTATTTAGAGATTCCTTGTTCACCTTATTATACTCTCTATAGCAGAATACCAAATTGGGACACAATTAAAATTATCCTTTTTTTTTTAAATCTAGAAAACCATTGTTAAAAAAAAATTCAAAACCACTTCATTAAGCAAAATTTGAAACAGCAGAAAAACACTTAGTAATGAACCATGCCAACTGGTACCTGAAACAATAAAATGAAATAAAGAATGAAAAAAATCTACCATTTTTCCAGCAATTTTTCTAAGTAGGCATAATTTAGTCCCTCCTTGCTGGATTTTCTTTATAATCTAAACTCTGAGGCAGGGAAAGTTAAAAGTCTCAAGCCACTTTAAAACTTAGTCTTCTGGAAAGCCTTTGTGGCTGCTGCTACTGTTATACTCTGTCCCCTTTATCTCTTTAGAGAGGGATTTAAAAATTGGGGAAAACTCTGCTCTCCAGTTCTGATCCCAAACTTCCCAGACTGGAAAGAAATATAATTCTCAGGCTCTTTAGGGACAAAGCAGCTAGTCTACAGTTATGATAATTGCAGTTAAACTTCTATCAGACCCTCCCCTCTGGACATGAAAGTCCTGGCTCTACTTTATACAACTTCTCACCTGTCTGGTTCATGACCCTGACTCACATGCGCTGGGAATGCAGTGAAATGGCACTGGTACATATTTGTGGTGATTGGTATGGCCTCTTCAGCTTCAGGGGCAGAACTGGAACTGAGGAGGCTTTCACCAAGGGCTTAATCAGCCTCACTCATTTTCTTCCATTACCTTTTTCAGGGGATCAGTTCTGTCTCCAGAATCCCTGGTCTGCTTATATCACAGCTCAATGCAAAATTCCAGATGTTTTGATTTCTAAAGCTTTCTTTCCTGCTCTGATTCCTGGCCCTAGGCTTCACATATAATAAGTCTACCAGTGGCTGGAGCAACTATGTCTTCTGGTAGCTTATAAGCAGGTATCTTGTACTACTGTGTACTGAGGAAGGGAAAGATTCATACTTCCTACTAGCCCTCTGGGCAGCTAGGTGGCACAGTGTATAGACTGTTGGGCCTGGAGTCAGAAAGACATCTTCCTGAGTTCAGATCTGGCTCCAGACACTTAACAATCTCTGTGACCCTGGGCAAGTAACTTCATCAGTTTCTTCATCTGTAAAATGAGCTGGAGAAAAAAATGGCATACCATTCCAGGATCTTTGCCAAGAAAACCCCAAATAGGGTCATGAAATGTCGGAAATGACTGAAAAGACTGAACAAACGAAATCTCTATTATCTCTTTCTTACTCTTGCCCATTCCCATGCTACCCCTTTCTTTAAAAAAAACAAAACAAAACAACAAAACAAAAATAAATCATATAAAAATATAACTACTTCCAGTGCTGTTGAGAAGGACAATAGAACAATAAGTCTCAATTATCTGGAATGGTTATTCTGGTTAATAAAGCATTGTTACATATATCATAAATAAAACTTTTCATATAATTATCATATAATATATATATATATATATATATATATAGTAAAATTATACTGGACATGATTTAACCTTTCTTTATGAATGCAGAAAGTATTTTGTAACCATCATCATGAGCAGCAAATATTATACAGTAGATTTGAAGATGATGATGACATTTGTCTTTGTTCTCAAAGAGGACAATGACATCAGGAAGGAGATATCATGACTTGCAAGTGAATTGGATTTAAGTGAGGCAGGGCTGTGCAAAATCACCAGCCTCACTTTCTCTTCCAGAGCAGTCTGGATCTAGTGGCAAGATATAGATCAGGATGACTGGAGATGGCCCTGCATGTAGTGGGAAGCTTTGACCTTTTTGAACCAAGGTCTTTCCCAGGTCTCAGTTTGTTTGAGGCAACACCTATTCAATGATTAAGGCTAGATAAAAATGAGGCAAAGAATGGGCTCTTTTACCTAGTCAAAAAATAAATAAAATCAACTTAGGAGGGGAAGACCCTCAGTGTTTCTGGCCAAAATGGAAACAATTGCTATTTATAATAACTTGTAGATAATGTATAATAACTGCACTACCGATCTCAGTTTTCGTGAAATCAAATAATGATATATGTGAAAGCAATCTACAAATTGCAAACTGGCATATAAATATAAGCTATTTTTTTTGAAAGATCTGGTAAATATAATACCAGATAACTAAATTTGCTGTCATTTCTTTGTCTTATCTGAGAGACAGCAGCAAACAAGTTGGAACAAAATAATAGAAAATAGATGTAAAGGGGCATCACTGGAGTAGATACTATCTTTATAAAGGGACAGATAATAGGGGTTGTCTGGGAGGCTCTTTTGTGCCGAAGAACTCCTGTGCCTCTAATCACCTACCTCATTAGTTCTGGTCTCTGTGACATTCCGTTTTGTGTCATTTAGGCAAAGTGCCTACTTTGTATTAGCTTGGACACAAAGACAAAAGTGAAAAAGTCTGCCTTCAAAGAGCTTAGATTCTACTGAAGGGGTGAAATATTCTAGAAAATACAAAATAATACAAAGGAATTTCAAAGGGTAAGGCGTGCTAATAGGTGAGGCAATTTGAAAAGACTTTGTAGGAGGTGGTGATGGCTACACTCAGCTTGGGAGAAAGCTAGGAATTTAATGTCAAGCACTAACCTGGAGAATATAGTACTGTTTCTCTAAGGAATATCTTAGAGGAGAAGAAAAAAAGGCTAGGAGTTTTAACTTGGATTCTTCTAAAAGCTTTGCAAAGAAACTTTGAAAGGATAACTGAACTGGGCCTGAGTCAGTTCATTTGAATAAAATGGAGACAACAATTTTGACTACATCTTAAGGAATGATAAAAATGAGAAGCACTCTGCTAATGAAATATATAAATATTAAAGAATAACAAGGAAATAATCATTTTGGTGGGTCTTTTTTTTTTAACTAGTTTCCCAACCTCTTTGATAATGAAATTGCCTCCTAAATGGTCTTTCTACTTCCATACGGCTCTAATATAATCTTCCTACAGCCCAGTTCTGGCCGTATCACTTCCTTCTTCAAAAATGTAGGAGAAAATACAAACTCCTTAGTTCGGCATTTGGAGACCATCATATGGCTCAAACCTATCCTTCCAGACATTTCACATTCCTCTCCTTCATGTATGTAACAGCTACATGTGCTGTTTCTAGAACGCAGTATTCCATTTCCTCCTCAGGCGCCTTTGTACATACAAGTGGCTCCTCATTCTTGAACTGCCCTCATTTCCACCTCCTAAATTCCTTAGCTTCCTTCAAGATTTAGGAACTATCTCATACTGAAAGTCTTTCCTTATCTGTATAGCCAGGTATCTCACATTTTGTATTTGTGAAGTTTTTTTTTTTATACCTAAGTGTAAGATTTCCCATTTGTTCCTATTAAAGTTTAAACTAAATTGTACTCAATTCAGCCAAGTGTTTATGGTCCCTTCCAGTTCTTTGCCATCTCCAGTTCTGATAACGGTTCAGTTCTCACTGGGGAGGAACAGGAATAGATTTGGAGAGAGAAAGCACAATGTCAGAGTGTTGGTGGAGAAGGTGCTTCAGCAGTAGGACTCTTTCCAGGACACAGCTTCTAGAGCTGACTGGCTCAGTTCAGTTTCTTAAGAGAATCCAGCTGAGGGTGACTGAATTTAGGCTTCTGGGAAAAAAGTTGAATCTACTCCACTGTTCTCTATAGTTTCATTGCTCTGAGCTATGGGTAAGGAGGTTAATTACTAAGCTGGTTTGATATTTAAAATGTTTTGCCTATCAATTATTTACCTTATAACAAATGGTTTGCTAGATAAAGATAAGATAATTTTAATGACATCCTGGGTTTGTGTGTTTAATATGTAAGTAAGTATAGGAAAACTTGTGGCCCAGAGATCACCATTCCAGGGTTGGTAATCAACAGATTATCTGAGAGCTCCAAGAATTTCAGGATTTTTTTGGGGGAGGAGCAATTTGCATTTTAAGTTTTTCAGAGAAAGGAAGCCACTTAGAACTCTGACTTAGAGTAGAACCCTCAGAATCTAATTTTGTTATCTCTCAGCACTGTTTTCTTGTTTGTTTGTTTTTGCCAGAGGTCTTTTAGGTTTTTGTTTGTTTTGTTGTTGTTGTTGTTGTTGTTGTTGTTGTTTTTGCCCATGAGAGAGGAGGAGGGAAGTAGAGACCTCCAGAGGTCATAGTTTGAGGTAACCACAGTGACCTCTCCTGCACAGAATGATAATGCTGAGGATCAAATAGAAAGAACTGGGCCATGCCACTGGAAATCTTCCAAGTTGACAATGAATCATTAATGACTATGCTTTGGGTCGATCCACTCGACCAGTTCCAAATCCATCGAATCATACTGTTGCCTGGCCCCCATCTTTCTGCTCTCCCCTCAAGAACAGCATGAAAGACTTTTATCAAATGCTTTGCTACAGATCTAGTTGTACCTAGATCTATAGCATTAATAAGGATAACATCTGGCATTTTTATAGTGCTTTAAAGTTTATATAATGTTATCTCGCTTGATCCTTTACCCTCTTCTGGCTTATTAGCTTCGTCAACGAAGGAAAGTGAATGGCATGATGTGTGCCTGATGGAGCCTTGCAGGCTCTTGTTGATTACCATTTCCTCTTCTAGGTTATGGTTGCCTTTCCCTCTCCTTAACTTC